ATTATAAGAAACTTCTAGATTTTCTTTTATTATTGCTGAAATTTCTATAATTGCTTTTTCAACTTTTTCAGAATTAGTTGCTTTTTTAAAAATAGCTAAAGAATTTCTTTTGCTCAATTTATATTCATGTTTAAGTCTTCTATAAGAATCTTTTGTTTTTGTGTTTTGAGACTTTTATTTTTCTTTCAGGAGAAGTGGTTTTGTTTTTTTCTTATTTATATTAAACTCTTTATATTGTAGTTGGAGTTTTACTGCTTGTAAGTACTAAGAGCATTCCTTTTTAATATATTCTTTTTCATTACAGAAGAAGCAAAGTTTTTGGAGCTAAGCACTATTCTGTAATAATTTTGTTATTTATAAGAATATAGAATTGTAAGATTCTTTTTTTTAGTCCTAAGTCATCTGTAGTTTTAAATATAATAATCTATTGATCTGTTAAATATGATAATCTATTGATCTGTTAAATATGATAATCTATTGATCTGTTAAATATGATGTATCCTCAATTAAAAATAGTTTAATTAAGAAAATTTTGTCTATATTATTGAAGGTTTCTCTAATTTTTTTTAAAATAAGATTTTTGTTATCTAATAAAACATTTCTAATTTTAATTAGAAGAAAGAATCTTCTTGTATCAGAAGAAATATAGTTATAATATGTTTTGTTAAAGATTTATATTTCTTTAAAAGCATAATGCTTCAGTTTTTCTTTACTTAAAAATACTAATTCTAAGTGTATACATGCATCCTTATTAATATATAACTTAAAAGGTGTAACAACTTAGTAAAGTAAATAGGTTGTCAATCCTCAAATAGCAGATTTAAGGTTCAATTCTTATGAAAAATGAATTTTAGGAATTATACTTGTATTACAATAACTGTTTTTTGTTGATCAGTTGGGTTTTGAACATCTGTAATCTTAGATATATCAAGTTAGGTCTCATCTAACATTGGAAGCTTGAAGTATTTATATAAAGTGTAATGTTATATATATAGAAGAATATAAAAAACCAGTATCATATAAGGCTTCAGTGCAAATCTGTAATAAGACTACTAGGTATAGAAGACTAAGAAACCAAGAAGATGAAAAACTATTTGGAAATCTTAAGTAAAGAGATAGCACAAACTTTTGATATTGCCATTAGACTGATAGAAGCCTATAAAACACTTTTATAGGAACTGTTAGATAAACCAAATAACAAAGATGTATAGAGAAGCATATGACCAACTAGGCTGCTAAAATTGCTAAAGAAAAAAGATACATAAGTATACTATACTAAGCCATCTGAATTGGAAGTTTGAGAAGTCAATTGGTTCTAAGTTGTAGCTAGTAAGGGATGATAGAGAAGAAGTCAAAAAGATAGATATCAGGATTTGGGTGAACTTTACAAAGATAATAGTGGTTTAATGAGTAACTTTGACTGCAAATATTAGTCTTAGCTATAGCATCAAACTAGGTTAGTAATAAAAGAGAATATGGCTCACTTTAGTAGATTTGCCTTAAGAATAAAAATAGTCTAAAGATTATAGTTCTATAGTTAAAAGCAAATAGATCTAAGTCTATAACCTGGTAAAATTAATACTAAGGTCAGATTAAAGAGTTTAAATAAAACATTTAAGCAGAGATATTAGATATGATCACTGATAAGGAACCCTCAGGCAGACTCTTTAAATAGATAATATAAAAAAGTTATATATGTAGCCAGTTGTATATTCATCTGATAGTTCAATATAGATATATCTGTATAAAACATATATCCAACATAAGTATTAATAAAAAGCTAGGACCAAAGAAGGCACCTTAATACTAAAAAAAAAAATTAATATATGACTTAGCTGCTATTATATTATGTTCTGCAGTTTTATAAAGTAAAATTATAATTTTATTTAGCAAGTCTGTTAGATATTAAATATTTAAAATAAAAGCATTATTATTTTTGATTTTATATTATTTCTTAGTAAAAAAGAAAAGAAAGTTGACTGTTCTCTTTTAACTTTAGCAAAGAAACTTGTTCAGAACCTGTTTGAAGTTTCTTTGCTTTTGTTTATTTTAGCTGAACTTGAGTCAGTTAGTAGAATCTTATATGGGTTTACATGTATTGTTATTGTTGATATTGAGTTTTCTTTATTGTTGAGTTCTTTATTACATGTTTTATAAACAAATATATTTAATTCATTATTTTGGTCTTCTTTTTTTTCAAAATAATCTTTTATATTTTCTAGCAAGATTTGGTTATTTTAACTAAGTATACTATTATTATTAGTATTTTGTTATACAAAAAATACTAAGCTATAAGGTGACTGTTTGTTGTTATAATATTCTCTTTAAAATAAGAGACTTTTTTGTTGTATGCAGTAAGTTTTTCTATATTAGAGTAGTTAGTAAATTTAATTTTTTTGTATTTGTGAACTTTGATAATAGAAGTACTAGATTTCTTAAGAACAAAGAGAGGTATTTCTGTTTTGGTACTGTTTTTAAAGAAAAAATGAACTTTTATTTAAGTTAATTTTGTCTTTTCTAAATTACTTTCAACCTTAAACACAAGTAGTTAGGAGAGAGAGATTATTAATTACTTAATATAAAATATATATTAAAAGATTTATTATATATATATATAATTACTAATAAAGATATGAGCAAGGCCTCACCTTAACACCAAAAAAAAAAAATATATATATATATATAAATATAATTTTTAAATTTTAAAAAAATTTTATAATTACTAGCTTTATTATATATAAGTATTATTAATTTTATTATATAAAATTACTAATTTTTTATATAATAAACTAATTTAAAAATAAAGTATACAATTTTTAAATTATATATAAAACTTATAGTAAATTTTTATTTAATCAAAAATAAAAAAATATTTCTTAAATAAACAGCTTTTAAATATTGATTAAAAATTGTAGAATATGGTTTTCTAATTCTAATGATGATAAATTTATTAAAATTGGTTAAATATTGATTAAGATATATTATTATTTGAAAAAAGTAAATGCATATAATGCCACAGTTAATAATAGATATGCAAGTGTATAGATGTTCATCATCACTTAACAAGATTATGTAATGCTTGTAAACTACTAATAAATTCATAAGTTTCTAGATTTTCACATCATTTATGTTGATATTCTTTATAAAAAACATAATAGAAATTTGAGGTCTATTGATTTGATCCTCCAGAAAACCCTCATCATAATCTAACAAAATATTTTTCTAAAAAAAAAAAGAAAGCCTAATTCAAAGTTAAAAATACAATCAATCAAAAATGCACAATAAATAATAAACTGATTATTTAATCTAATCTGTAGTTTCTAAATGTTATTTTTTGATCATAGTTGCACCTAATACATAAGAGACCCAATAATTTGCTATTATTAAACAGCTAATATATGGAGTGTTAAATATATTTTCAATATTTCTAAAACCTTTGAAAATATTGACTTAGCAACTGTTGATGCTTAATTGATAGAAAGAGAATTTAAATAGTTATTATGTCATGACCACCTAGTTTTATTATCTAATAGATTTTGTATATGCTTATGAAGGTTGTGCAATGAAGTAGTACTTTTTACACTTTCTTTAATCAGTCTGTTCATTATTTCAACACATTGAGTACTCTGAACTTCTGCAGTAAAATGCTTTAATTGATAATATTGGGCCTACAATTTAACACATTCTTGTAATGCTTGATTAAAATAATTATTTGTTTAAGAATATTTGTTTAATAAAAGTAACCACTATCTATAAAAATTTTCTTCAAACATACTATTTTATGCTTGTAAAAATTCTTTGTAAAAATTGTTTTCCAAGTTTGCTTTATAAATTTTTGCAAATTTTTTTTTTAAATATGAAAAAACATAAAAAGTGATGTATAATAGGTAGTCTTGAAGAAATGGCACTACTTAGTGCAGTTCAGCATCTGAAAATAAAACTGCTAGGAATGTATTATATGCTGCATTTTTGATACATTCAAGAAATTATTTATATGCTTCAGTGGTTTCATCATTAAACAACACTTGATATACTAGCCAGATATTTGTATTATTGTTAATTACTATTAAAAGTATAAGGTACATGTCAAACTAACTGATTTTACATATATTGTTAGTCTGAACAATATCAATATAACAAATCAGACATTGTTGTTACATTGGAGATATTCAAAAGATTCCTGCCAGCCTGTTATCATATGGATCTATTCTAATATTAACAATCCAACCTGAATCTTAGCTTTTTAACTGCAACAAATAATCTATAAAATGCTAGGAGAAGTAGGTTTAAGAAATAAGTATATACTTATTATTAAATCATGAAAATATCTATTGTTAAAATTTTGTTAAAATTATTACTTGTGCTTCTCTATGATGTTGATTAGATGCTTTTTGAAACTTTTTAACTGCATTATAAAGATCAGTTTTATAAATAATATAATCAGGAAATTTTGCTGTCAAAAGTGATAAGATTTGTTTAAATCTTATATTTCCTTTTGTAACATAAAATTCTATTAAGTTTAGAATTTCTAAAGACAACTTTCTATATCTTGAAGCATTTAAAAATACATCTAGTTGCATTTTATGATCATACTTCTCCTCTATACTTGTAATAGCAACAACCTTAGAAGACTTTGGTTTCAATAGATTTATGTGTCAAGAACATAAAATTTTACTTGAATTTTAATTGCATTGTTAAGAAAAGTCAATAACCTTGTTGCTAATAACTTTATCAGCATGTATACATTCAAAGATATGTCATCTAACTTCACTGTTTATATCAACTGCTACTTTTTTTCAATATAATAAAAAACCTGTAGCTTTAGCATAACGATTGAGATATGCTTTAGCTTTATTCTATAACATATAGAAATTGCTTACTGAAAGTTAATTCTGTTTATTGTTTGGCTTAATTTCCAAAGATTGAAGATTCTGTTTATTATTTGGCTCAATTTCTGAAGGTTGAAAATCTTGTTCATCGTTTGGCTCAATTTCTGAAGGTTAAAGATCATGTTCATCATTTGGCTCAATTAAAAATAATTTTATATAAGAAGGTATTAATTCCAAGCCTAAGCTATTTATAGTTTCAATATCAACCAAAGAACCACTTGTAGATTCAGGAGGACTTGTATCTAAATGTTTTAAAAAAAAATTTAAAAATAGTAAATCTAACTTTTTATACAGCATTTTTTAAATGATAATAATACTACTTACCTTTTATAATTTTTATAACTAGGCTAGAAATGAAAGAATAATAGCAATAAAAGAAGTACAACAAGGAAGCAATAAAGAAAGCACAAATAAGCAGCAATAAAGCACAATAAATAAGCAAAAAGGAAGTGAAAGCAAATAATAATAAGCAAGTAAACAAAGAAGCACAAGCAAGCAACAAAAGCAAATAACAAACAAGCAAGAAAGCAAAGCAAGCAAACAGAAAAGAAAAATAATGTATAATTAAGAATATAGCAAACACAATAATAAAAAGAAATATAGCAGTAAAAGGTAAATGTGATCAAAGTAAAACAATATTGTTTATGTAAAAAAATAACTTTAACATGATGCACTACTAAAAATGAAATAAGCATGATGAAGAAAAAAAAGCTGTATGAAAAATAAAAAAAAACATGACAGTAAAAGACAAATATGATCATAGTAAATCAGTATAAGTAATATAAAAAATGATTTTAATATGATATGCTAGTAAAAACAAGAGCACATAGTAAAGAAAAAAAAGCTGTAAAAGAAAAGTATATGAATAGAAATAGTATTAGTAATGCGATACTAAAATAAGGAAAAAATTATGTGATTGATTGATTGATCAATCGATCTGATCATGTATAAATAATGTGTAACTATAAATTACATAGGATGATGATTATTATTACTAGTTATTTTAACTTAAATTCAAAATTAAATATTAAAAATATTTGAAACTATTCAAAGTATTGCAAAACAATTCAAAATAATTTAAAATAAATCAAAAGATTTAAAATAAAAATTTTATAATTCAATGCATCTGCACTGCAGTGCATTCCTCATGTGATCACAAATTTATTTAGATTATGTTTTAGAATATACTCAATATTTAAATTTTTAATTCAATACAAATTTTATTTTAACATACAACTTATTTGCAAAATAACAAATAATAATACTAGAACAGCAATAATTCACTATGTAATATCAATTCTTATTCTAATACTAACTAAAGAATAACACTAACCTTAATTAATTGAATACACAATATATATAGGCCTTTTTAATCAGATATACAACATATATCAATATAGGCTTCCTAATTGGATATGCAACATATATATACTTATTGCTAATAAAAGTAAGCAACACAAATTGCAATCAAGACAACTATGCTAGAACTATTACAAATTATGCTGTAACTAGTTACAAACATTATAATTTATAGCATAACCTGTAATAGTACTAACTCATTTAAGTAAAAATTAATAATTTATTCATAAATAAGCAAAATAATATAATAATACAAGTTACAACTTAGCACAATACTTTAATCATATACATGACAATTTAATCTTAGTCTATAGACTTTTGACCAATTTTTTGCAGTAATTGCAAAGATTCAGACTATGCTTTCACTTACTATTATTTGTTAAGTGTTGATTTGTTTTATTTTTATAGTGATTAGTTAATTTTGATTTGCTTTTAGTAATTATCTTTAATGGATTTCTAAACTGAATACTTAAATATATGTTCTCTTTATTAGAGTCATCTAAATCAATTATGCTTGCTTATATAAATTCTTCATCATGTTTACATACTTCAACCAAATAATTTTCAATCACTTAAACATTGCCTAAAATACCCATGTTTATTTAAAACATTTCTATACTTGCTTTAAAGAATTTAGCAAATATTGATTAACTTTATACTAAATTAAGCTACCTCTATAATGTTTAGAAAATAAAAATAATGCTGACAGATAAGTCCAAGTTTTTGTTACAATAAGCAGATACAATGATAAAATCTATCTATAAGACAAAAAATTATATAATTTATATTGTGTCTAGTAATTCAAAAAATTTTTTAAATTTTTATAATACTATCATAATATAGTTTATGCAAAAGAAACTGTGCATATGCAAGAACACAATCTGGTTTATCTTCAAACTGCTTACTTTCAGACAGTTCATCTGTAAACATATTTTCAATTTTTTCAATATTAAACAAGTATGCTATATAGTAAACACATTTCTTTATTTGTCTGATTATATATTATGCAACTTTCAAATGCAAATAACATGTAACAACTGATTCTATTGTTGGAAAAATTGTTATATAATTTATAGTCAAAAGAATACTAATGCAAATTAATTCTTCATATTGTTTCTTATTTGCTTTTCTTTCAATATAATTTATAAAGATTTTTCCAAGATCACAAAAGAATATATATTACTGCTTTCAAGAAGACATTTAATGCATGCATTTTTACTCTCAACAAATAAAATTGATTCAATTTTTAAAGTGAACAATGTTATTATAAATCCTCTTGCCTAGGATTTTTATCATTCAAATAAGTATTTTCTAAATACTGCTATGTTAAAGAATATTTCTTTATTAACTTGTTCCAATAATAATTAAAGCTTTTAGAAATATAGGCATTATAACATTTTCAAATTGCCAAATAAAATGCATCAAATTGCATATCTAACTTCCTGTGAAGCATTTTTTTGAGATTTTTTTTAAGATGCTATATGCAAAAAATATAATACCTTGTTAGGTATTCAATCATAATTGCACATTTAATAGTGGAATCATTAGTAATAATCACATTAGATATTAGTTTTCTTATCACTTTATTTGTTATATGCAATATCTATTTGTATAATTCAGTAGTCTTATTACTTAGAAGAGTCTGTATGACAGTTTGAAATTATCCCAAACCACAAAAAGTGACAAGGGCATATGATAATAATTTGTACCTGCTATGTTATCATAACTCACAACTTAACTAAATTTATACTATAATATAATTTGATCTGAACTCATCCAAAAAGTCCAGTAAGAATATTAGTTCCTGCCTTTCATATAATTTCTACAAACTACCTAGGATCCTCACATTGTTTGTCTAGCAGTTTTTATAAAATCTTGATGTGTTATTCTCATTAACTTGTACTAATAGCTTGTATTTTTTAATCTCATTATATAGGTTTTTAAAAAAAATTAAATAAAAAAGATATTTTTGTTTAAGGATTTTTTGAATCAAAGTTGCACCAAAATAATACTGTATCATATAAAATTCAACATTTTCTTGCATCTTCTTGGTGAATACCTTATCTTTCTTAAACTGAAGTGCTTCAGAACACATCTCATAATTATGTTTATCTTTTAATGTTGTTACATAGATATAGTTGTTTGGGTTTTATTGAATAGCTATAAAAGATTTATATATTATTGACATTTTGTCTTAATCAACTTTCTAGCTTTTGTAGAATTTGTTAATTAATAATAACCAGAGTGACAACAGAGAATAGTTCTTTTTGTATAATTTTCTTATCTTTCATTTCAATTATAGTATTTTGACCTAGTCTTATCTTGAATTCCTTAAACTTAGCATATTGTTGTACATGTTGTTCAGCTTCATTAAAATTTGAAAATAAATCTTTTTCTCTTAAGATAATTATTTTAACACTTGTAGATAGTTCTTTTATAGTTACATCACCACAATATGCTTCTTCAAAGTAGTTTTTTATACTTATTTCATTATTGTCATTCATGATTTTGTTTAGATTTATTTCAGTATCATTTAATATATTAACTAGTTTTAAAAGAAAAAAGTAAAAAATCAAAATTAATAAACATTGTTTATTCTATATAATGTCTATAATAAGATAAAATTGGGCTTGAGTAGTCTGTAGATTGTTTGGAGTCATAGCACTTAGATTTTGGTTTCAGATATAAGATATGTTAATACATCTATGTTTCTATATTTGTTTATATATTCTTTTAAAAAGTTTATGATAGAAGTATAATATATGTTAGTTATTGGCTAGGTTAGATAGCTTTATTGTAAAAATAGTATCTAAAGATATTAAATTAACTCTAGTATTGCATTTAGTATATGCTGTTGTTTCTGGCATAATTTGAAATTTAGTATAAGTAATGTTAAGTATGTTGATTATGATTTATTGTAGAAGTATGCTATTTGCAAAACATGTAATTTAGTAGTTATTGTCTTTAATGTAGTTTTTATATCATGAACATGTTGGATCTAAATATATGTTAGAATGTTTATTATTTAAGTTTTTGTATATAAGTAGTTCATCTAGGAGTATTTTAATTTTAAAGAACTTTAGTTGCAACTTTTAAAGATGTGTGTATGCTTTTGCAATAGGTTTGTCTTTGTAACTTATGAATTAAGTTGTTATTTTCTAATCAATTAGATGTTGTTTCTAGGCTTGTATTTGGTTTTGTAAATGCAATCTTGCTAATGCTTGAGTATTTTGTAAGTGTCTAATAAGTCTTCTAATGTTGTGTTCAATAGATGCTGTTTGTATTAATAGGATGTATATATTGTAAAGAATTTTACTATAGGTAATGTCTATAGTAAATATTTTGTTTATATAATTGCATTGTTCTAGGTTGGCCTTGTAAATAGGTTGTAAGAAGATATATTTGTTTGCTGTTATAGTTCTAATTCCAATTTTATGTATCTAATTTGAAGTATTGTACAATGCTTTTGTTTGGTAAATAAGATTTTGAGTAAAGGTTTAGTGTTTTATATATAACTCAAGTGTGCAGTTGTTTGGACAAATAGTTAAAAGTAGTGCAGTTGCTATATATAGAGCATGTATATTTAAAGGCCAGATTGTATTTTAAACTGATATTGTATAGGAATTTCTAATGATCTTTCATATTACTATTAGAAAGTTGTTAGGTATATTGGTTGTATAAATAATAGCTTGTATTTGTTTTTTTTTTTTGAATGCCTGATATATGTTTCATAATTTTGTTTGTATAAATAAGATTAGAGTAAAAATTTTTTAAATGTATGCATCTTTTTTTTCTCAGAGAGTTATATTGGAATGGTTGCTTTAGATTTAGTATAGGTATTAGGTTTTTCTTTGTTGGCTTTTTGTCTATTTTGAAGGGTTGCATAAAGTTATTTTTTATTGTCTACTTGGATTAATATTATAGAGTTTTAAGTATAGTGATCTTGCAAGTTTTAGTTAAGTGAAAAGATAGTGAGCATTCTTTGCATTATGTTGTTTGGTTGTTTTTTTTATTAATTTTCCAATAAGCAATACAGATATTTTGGTTATTTATTCTAATAATTTTGCTAATTGTTAAATATAATATAAAGATAATTATCTACTTTGACTTAATAGTTGTTGTTATAGATATAGTAAATAGGTTTGGCTTTATAAATAAGCTATGTAGGTTTTCAGCTGCAGCAATTGTATTATTGTTATAAACTATTTGGACTTTGTTTCTTTTAGTATTTTTTGTATATTATGATAAAAGGCCTTCCAGATAAGCATTTGATCATTGTTATAGTTGCAGAATTGTTCAATAGCTTGAATGTTGTAATTGTTAAGCTGCTTTTTTATTTGATATATACAGAGCATATTGGTAAGTATAAGGTTAATTGAGTTGCCTAAGTGGACTTTTGGGATTGGTTATAAGTTAGTATTATTTATGATCTGTATTTGTAGTTTGTATAGCCTAAAGACTGTTCTTGCAATTAGTGTATTGTGATGAGGTATTGGAATTACAGGTGTGTCTAGCAAAATTGTTGTATTACAGTTTGCTACATTTTGCAGTTGTTAAAGTCTTATTACTAGTATTGATTTGTTGAAGTTAGGATAGTTAATAATTTTGGTAAGATTTAAGATATATTGTTGGTTTTGAATATTGTATGCCTGGCAAAATGCATATATTTGATGATAATGAAAGGTAGAATGTAAACTATGTCTAGAAAGCATTGCTTTGTTTTTAGCAATACTGGTATATTAATTTGTGATTTTTTTGCATTGTTGTTTAGTAATGTATATGTTCTGTACATAATATGTAAAGCAAGTAAGTATGACAGCATTTATAATATAGATCATTTGTTTTTCTATAATTTTTGTATGTTTTAATTTGTGTAAGGCAAAGTTGATTTCATTAGTTATTTTGTAGTAGATATGTTTGTAGTTTTTAAAATATATAAAGTAACATCCTAAAAACCTGAAAGTTGTTTTTGGATCTATATTGTTTATTTGTTGGCCATTAAAAATAATATGTTTGTCAAGGTTAGATGTATTTGTAGTCAGAATTAATTTGTGTGAATTAACAGTTATATTGGCTATTTTGTAAAATAAGGTGGCAGTTGTGATAATTTCTTGTAGTTGCTGTTTATTTTGTATAATTTAGGTAGTGTTATCCATATAGGCCAGACAGCTGATATTGTTATAATATGTTTTGCCAATTGGTGTATAGTCTGTAGTTCATATCTCTTATGTTGCTTAGCAATTCTTGATATTAGTAAATCATAAAAGATACACTATAAAAGTGAAGTTATAGTTTTGCTTTAATCAAGTCTATTATATATAGAATAAGAGTTGGTAGTTCTAAAGTTTGTTAGAACTGTATTTGTTCTCTTGGTAAAAATGTTTGTAATAAAGTTGATAATTTTTGTAAGTATAGAAAGTTGAGCTAATGTTTTGTTAAGTAGTGGTATATGTACAGAGTTATAGGCTTTGGATATGTCTTAGGATAAGATCCAAATTTCTTTGTCTTTAGTAGTTGCATCTTTTAGTATATGTGTTAGCTTTGAATTAGCTGTATTGTGAAGTTAAAAGGTAAGGCTACATGATTGTAAGATGAAAAAATAAGAAAGATATTTATAGCCCACACTAAATAGCTTTTTTTAAATCATATTAAGACTTTAGACTTTTAGTTTACTATCTATCTGAACTCAATCCTAATTGGTAATATATATATAATTAAATTTATTTATATTTGTTTTTAGTCAAAACTAAGTTTAATAAATCACAAATAATAAACTTAAAACTCTAAAGATGTTATTTATATTAGTTTGAATACTGACTAATAGTAAAAAAAAGCAGCTAGTGATCAACTTCTAATTTTTTTTTTAAACTTAAGCAGTCACGCTAGTACTTTATTAAGATTCTTGGAATTACTTTTGCAATTACATAGATTTATCTAACAACTA